TATATGTTACAAAAGTAACAATTATTTCAAATGTGATAAAACAAAGAAAAGAAGTCCAGATTTCTTCTGATGTTGCATGTACGCTCCTGGCACAGCTGAGCTTGAGAAACAGAAAGATGTGATGAGGTCCAGCATGCCCCAGTGTTTGAGGTTAAAGAAGGAAACCAAACAAGACAACCTGAGCCTTGACGACAGCTACGCCACCGGTGAAGGTCTGAGAAGGAGCACCTTCAGCAGCTCCTTGCGTAATCTCTCTGATGCAGGTAAAATCCCAAACTTAACACTTTGTCTCCTGTTCTGCCCTCTTTCTAGACAGCGTAGGACAGATACTACAACATGATGCTCTTATTGTTCAGGAAACAACTAAAACCCAGGTTCCTGGGACAGTCTGGTTTGGGCGGTGGCCACAGCAACAGATTCTGTGAGCTCAAGAAGCTGAGGCTTAGATGAGTGTGAGCCAGGTGTCATTTAACAAAGACCATCCATTGATAATCCTGTGCCATTTGTGAGGAACGTGCACTAGATGACTGTAGTCAGTCTTAGCAGCAAGATAAATGATGGACTGTACTTATATAGCACCTTTCCATCTTATCGAGACACTCAAAGCACTTTAAACAATCTGTGCCTCATTTACTCATTCATACAGCTCTATACTAGATCTCTACAAAGATAATTGAACAAATCATTCTAATGAGACTAATCAGAGCTTTAGATCACTTTCAGACGCTGATGGGACACACATCAGAGGCAACGAGGGGTTCAGTGTCTTGCCCAGGGACACTTCAACATGTGACTGCTGGTGGATTCGAACCCCCAACTCTTGCAATGGAGGACGACTGCTCTAACCACTGAGCCACAGCCGCACAGTGATGTGTTGTTTCAGGCACAGCTAGGAGAAGCTCAGTCAATAAATATTCAGCAGAAACACAAATGTTGACTTGTTTGAACGTGTAAAACAGCACATACAACTTAAAAACTAGCTCCTTTACAACACCAGCTCAAAATCAGTTGAGCTGTTAGGAAAAATGTAAAAAGCAACTAAAAAAACAGAATGGCATCTTTTGTAAATGTGACTTAATCACTTATCATATGTGATGGGACACAAATACTAAAGATTTCTCGACTTCTCATTGTTTAAAATAAATTGGGGCGACTGTGGCTGAGTGGTTAGAGCAGTCGTCCTCCAATGCAAGAGTTGGGGGTTCGAATCCACCAGCAGTCACATGCTGAAGAGTCCCTGGGCAAGACGCTGAACCCCTCGTTGCCTCAGATGTGTGTCCCATCGGTGTATGACTGTGGTAAAGCTCTGATTAGTCTCTACAGATTCCGATGGTCTTTGTAGAGCTCTAGTAGAGTGCTGTATGAGCGTGTGTGTTGGAGGTAAATGCAGCAGTAGAGAGCTTTGAGTATCTTGATTAGATAGACAGACACTAAACAAAGGCAGTCCATTTACCATTTAAATTTTCAAAAATCTCTCTCAAGTTTTTCACCTAAAATGCTTTAACTGGTATCTCTTGAAGTGCCTGTGACAAACACCTTACAAATAAAAGAAATTAGCACAGGCTTTTATCACATAACCATAAAATGTTTTATTTTGAACTTGGAGAAGCCAAAGAGAAACAGGAAGTGACATCAAAGGGGAACTCTTTACAAAGGAAAACTTTCTGGTATCTGTTTATTGAAGTATTTTTATTTGGTCTCTGACTCTTCCTGTTGTCACTTTGTCTCAAAATAATCCAAAGAAACATCCGGTTCTTCTCGGCTGTGTGCTGTTAGACGTAGCAGTGTTCTGTTCACATGCAGGCGCTTCCCTTTGACGTCACTTCTTGTTACTTTGTATGTGAATATCTCAACAGTGTTAATAACATTGTCTTTCCAAAATGCATTCATATTTATTTCTGAAATTTGATGCCACAGGTACTTTAAGGCATTTTGTTGTGAAGGTCTCCTGCGTTCTGTAAATGAACCATCGCCTCCCTGGGAGACACTGGAGATGCTGACTTTGTTTCGGCACCTTTCCTTTTTTGCTCCCACTGCCTCTAATAATTAGACCACTGAAATAGACAAGCACTGAAATTGCCGCCAACAGTTCAAGGCGTATCTGGCTGCCATCTTGCTAGGTGCTACAACTAAAACTCTGACTGTTTGTTACGTTATTTTGTGTAAGCTGTTAGCTGTACCATCACTCAAAAAATGCAAAAGCAATAGTTTTATTTTGTTTGAATAAAAATATATCACGTCAACTGTGAACATAGAGGGCAAGAGATTGCGGTAATGAATCTCCCTCTAAGCTCGGTCAAACGTCAGCAACAAAGAGGTGCTATTGAAGTTTTTTTATTTTCATCAACGGCTGATGGTCTGCACTTGTGATTCAAGCATTAGGTCATAAAACATAAATTAACAAAACTTTTACAAGCTGTCATTTCACACTAGTTAGACAGAATTCAACTCATTGACAACAAATACCAAGTACTTAAAGTCACTCTAGCTACACTTGAAATATTATATATTTCTGCTTAGTTTAACCAGAGCTACTGCTACCAGTGTCTGTAGTAAACTGCACCTAGACTATGAACTTAAACTTATATGATGTAGTCATTTTTATAATTCTGTAAATAAATAGGCTTTATAGTGTATAACAAGCAACTCAGTATGTAAAAAGGTGAACTGGAGTTTTTGTCGAGCCTGGACACTAATTCACTTTTTACCATGCATATTTAAGGTAAAGCAGATATCCTTTTATTTATTAATCATTTATGTGTGCACACATGCAAATTTGTCCCTGAGACAGTCCAACACATAATAAGGTGCAAGATCCAGGCATCACCAAAAACAGAAACATCTGTGCCGAGTATGAACTGGAGGTCCTCAGTCAAAGATGGAGACGTTTCCAAGGGAGGTGGAGAATGGACGTCGGACGAAAGCTGAAAAGTTTGGATTTTGAGTTATTGTTCCACGTCACAGAGCGAAGAGGGGAAGTTGGAAATAACCTCCCTCACTTGGTCTGTCTGTGTGAGCATGAAACATAAATGAGGTGTTCACTTCCATTTTGGTGTGTGGCTACATCTAGGTGTAAGAAAAGTTTCTTTTGAAACTTGGGCTGCGACGTAAAAATTCAAGAATGCTGCTGCCATATTGCAAAACAACAACAAAAAATGTAGAAACGTTTCGTCTCTCATCCGAGAGACTTCCTCAGTCTGAGGTGCTGTATTCAGCTCAGTCTCTTAAATAGCACCTTCTCAGAGTGGATCAACCAGTTTGCTGCTGACAACCAGAACCAGCTGCTCACATGCTCAAGAAGGACCATCAGCCTAACAATGGATCATTAGCACCTGATGGGGTGAGGTTCATTAAAATAATTTAACATGGCACATTTATCAGAAGAAGTTTGGCATTTCACTAGAAGGCAGACCACCAGAAACCGATCTCACAGTATTCCAAAACTTCTTTGGATCATTTAGATTTTTGGTGGTTTCTGATCAATAAAATTCAGATTTTTTAATTTTAGAGGTACATTTATTGCGAAGTTGACGAAAGTTAATCCAGTCAGCGTCCAATTTTGTTTTTCTAGCCTTAGCCCATGCGTGATCTCTCTGTCTGAGGAGATTACTAATTTCAGTGGAAAACCAGGGGTTATTTCGCCCCTTTATCCTGAATTTACGCAGAGGTGCATGTTTGTGTATTACCTTTAAAAATTCATCTTTAAAAAACGTCCATGCCAACTCAACATCATCAAAGAGAGAAATTTATTTCCACTCAGTTTTAGCCAGATCGTGCAGAAAAGTCTGCTCATAAAAATGCTTAAAGTCTCTTTTCAAAAGTATTTGTGGCATTTCTGACCACCGTAATTGCACAGTGGTCACTCAAATCATTCCCAACAACACCAACATCTGAACTTGTGAGGGGCATTTGTTATTCAATTCAATTCAATTCAAAAATACTTTATTAATCCCAGAGGGAAATTAAATGTTGTGGTAACTCATCATCCTGGTTTCATTAAAGGAATTTAGTTACAATAAATATGCATACATATACAACACCTCCCTCTGTTCTTCTCCACAGTGTAACTCCTCCCCACTTGAATATCTTGCACCAAAAACATTAAGGTTTACTTTCATTCCCTGTTCAATTCCAGTCCAGAAAAAACACTTCTCTCCAAAACTGAAAAAACACTCACCATTCCAGCCCCTCAGTGATGGAGGACATCGGGATACTACCACTCGTTCATGCATTTTTATGAAATATAACTGAACTAGGAAATGTAATGCAACATTCTTGGAAGTGCAGGTTCTGATCTTTTTAACAGCAACAGCTTCTTGAGTTTAGGTTTGGGTTGATATATGTGAGGATGTCCTTTAACATTGACCACAGTGCCTTGTTAGCACAGATTGGTTGGCCATCCCAGTGCAAATCTATTTTAGTGCCTATGACAGACAGCAGTTAGCTACTCTCGTGCCACCTTAGACTGTTAGCTTCCTGCAATAGCAGACTGTCTAACATGTCATGTCCCATGTTGTGGGCAGGAAAGCGTGGGAGAAGCAGCAGTGCAGGATCTCTAGACAGCAGTGTGGAAGTAAGTTGCAAGCACTTTACACCAAGCTGTTGGTCACCTTTGTGTTTTTCATTCTGACTACACACATCTTTAGTTTTTCCTCTGTTTTCTGCTTCAGCAGTTTATGTTTTGAACAAATTTCATTGAACAGAAATTATGTTGCGTCACTAAAAGGCTATGACACAACATTACCTCTATGACGATAAATCAGTCTCAAAAAGAGTCACACAATGATACAATACAATTTGAATGCCATCCATCCATCATCCATCCATCCTTCCATCCATCCATCCATCCATCCATCCATCCATCCATCCATCCATCCATCCATCCATCCATCCATCCATCCATCCATCCATCCATCATCTTCCTCCTGTTCTGAAGTCAGGTTTCGGGGGCAGCAGCTTGAGCAGGGAGGTCCAGGCGTCTCTCTCCACAGCCACCTCTTCCAGCTCCTCTGGGAGGACTCCAAGGTGTTCCCAGGCCACCTGACAGATGTAGTCTCTCCAGCGTGACCTGGGTCTTCCCAGGGTCTCCTCCCAGTCAGACACGCCCAAAGCACCTCCTTATTGAGGTGCCCAGGAAGCATCCTTACTACCAGATACCTGAATGACCTCAGCTGGTTCCTCTCGATGTGGAGGAGCAGTGGTTCTACTCTGAGTCGCTCTCGAATAATTGACCTTCTCACCCTATAGTGTGCCTTACAGCTCAGCTCTCTACTTGGACTGGCACAGAGTACTGCAGACGCTGCACCAATCTGTCTTTCAATCTCACGCTCCATTCTTCCCTCACTTGTGAACAAAAACCTTGTGATACTTGAACTCCTCCACTTGAGGCAGAACCTCACCCTCGACCCGAAGAGAGCAATCCACCCTTTTCTGACTGAGGACCATGGCCTGATTCTCATCCCAGCTGCTTCACACTCAGATGCGAACCGCTCCAGTGAGAGCTGAAGATCACGGCACGATGACACCAACAAGACCACATCTTCTGTAAATAACAGAGAAGGACTCCTGAGGACACCGAACCAGACAGCCTGTCTGCACTGAGAAATTCTGTCCATAAAAGTTGAGAACGGAATTGGTGACAATGAGCTTGTATAGGGACAGAACAGCTTGTAGCAACAATCCCAATAGATCCCATTGATGGAACAACGAATTCTGAATGACATCAGAGAATTCTGAAGGAAAACGTCAGAACATCTGTCCATGAACTGAATCTCAAGAGAAGGTGGGTCATGCAGCGACACAATGACTCTAAGAACACAAGTGGTTCTACCAAAGAACGGTTCAAGAAGAATAAAGTTTATGTTTTGGAATGGCCAAGTCAAAGTCATGACCTTCATCCAATCCAGATGTTGTGGAAGGACCTGAATCAGCAGCTAATGTGAGGAAACCACCAACATCCAGAGGTGAAGCTGTTCCGTATGGAGGAATGGGATAAAATTCCTCCAAGCCGGTGTGCAGGACGGATCAACAGTTACCAGAAACATTTAGTTGCAGGTATTGCTGCACGGGAGATGGGGGGGGGCTCACAGCATGCCGTGAAAGTAAAGGTTCACATATTTGTACCACTCACATATTGGATCATTTTCCTCAATAAATAAATGACCAAGTTTAATATTTTTGCCTCATTTGTTTAACTGGGTTCTCATTATCTACTTTTAGGACTCGTGTGAAAATCTGATGAAGTTTTAGGTCATATAATATGTTTAAGGTGTAGGGCAGGAGGTTAGATCACAAACACAAGCACTGCTGCCAAGGTAGGTACAAAATGGACCGAGGTGGGTACAACATTGACAGAGGTGGGTAAAACTGGGGCTATGGTGGGCATGATGTTGCCTATGTGTACGATATGGGTTGAGGTCGGGGCTGAGGGGGGTTCAGTGTGGGTGGAGGTGGGTTGAGGTAGACATGATGTAGGCTGATGTGCTCACGATGTGGGGCGTGGTGGGTACGATGTGGGACGAGGTGGGTACGATGTGGGGCGTGGTGGGTACGATGTGGGACGAGGTGCGTACGATGTGGGACGAGGTGGTACGATGTGGGACGAGGTGGGTACGA